AGAGAGAGAGAGAGAGAGAGAGAGAGAGAGAGAGAGAGAGAGAGAGAGAGACGGCGCGTTGCACGGCCTGACGCGTGCAACGCGCCGACTTCCTCTCTCTCTCTCTCTCTTACCTGCCTTAGCAAGCTGGCCTCTAGCGGGGAAGGGGTGGGTCACACACACACACACACACACACACACACACACCCACACACACACACACACACACACACCCACACACCCACACACACACTCACACGCACACACATTTTTGAAAGGGGTGCTGTTAGTTAAAAAACAGGAACATATAGGGGAAATTCCCTTTAGAATGGAATACTGATGGGCAGGGGCCACGGACCTGTTTTCACACACATTTCCTACCTATAGGATGGTACCCACCAGCAGGAAGGGTCCGTTGTGAAAGCGGATACGGAACACACCTGGACCGTCCCTTCAAAAATTTAGGGGCAGCTCCGGAAATGGGGCCCGGGGAACCAGAAGTGGCGAAACTGTGCCCACCGCAGGACCCAGGACCAGCGAAAGAAAATAGCGACCCTTCCCTAAGCAGGCTATCCTCCGACCAGTGTCGGTTATTCACCTCGGAGCAACAAGGACCCCCTTGGATAGCCTAGTGACCCTTGGAGGACTCCCACACGGCCCTTGGACCCTGGTCTGAGGGCGTAGGGAACAGGCACCACGGATTCAAATCCGGACCCAGCCTTTGCTACTTCCCGAAACTGATGAGACGCTGCCCTCTCACTCCGCGAAGTAGTATATAGCATTGGTAGTTAGCTGCCCCATCCCTCTTCAACATCAGCGCCCTCGGAAGCGTGTTACTCGTTCTCGTCAGTCGGTCCCCAGGAGTACTTTTGATACTCTCAGGGAACGAACGGCGAGTCCGGGTAGCCCGGCCACTAGACGCGCCTTTCCTTTCAACTGAGTTTCCGCCCCCGCCTTCGCGACGCCTGCCTGCCTGCTTTGCCGCCCCACCCGGGCGCTTCTCGAAGTCACCGACACACGAACGCTGCGCTGCTACCGCACCAAGGAACGCACGTGTGACTTACTGCATGGCTCGCGAGTTATGCCCTCGGAGCCCGAGCTAAAGCTCTCGCCATTGCCATGCGCCGCTTGCCGGATTTGTTGACGTCACTGTGAGCGCGACGTGCTGCCTTTTCCCTGCCCTGGCTTGCCTGTGCGCTCGGCAGCTGTCGCAACGAAGCACTTGGGCCTGGCTTCCTGCTTGCCTCGTGCTCCACGCCGCGTACCCTCTATGTGAACGGATCTTCCTCTTGCCATTGCCGGCACCGCTGGACTGAGTGCTTGACGTTACCGCTGGTGACGCAGCATCCGCTTGGTGGTGAGACTACACGACCGGACCAAACCGCGCCGACGGAGTCCCAGCCCTTCAAACGCCGGACCACAGACATCGCCATCACACCAAAACGAAACATGGCGCCGGGAGAGGTAACACACCTGCTAAAGCCCCTGAACCCACCACCCACCCCCATCCCCCTCCCTCCGTATTAGCGTCCAAACGAATCTCTCTGTCCCCTGCTCTCATACTGCCCTTATGCATGTCTCTCAAAGATCCCGGCTATACACATATGGATCTATGTCCCTTTCGGTACACTATGGGAGTGGCTATGTTCTCTGAAGATCCGGCTGGATGGAGGCCGGTGAAAAGTACTTAAGGGCACGTTCCATCACCCTCTCTCCATGTGTCGGCATTCTTTGAGCCGCTTGACTGAATTGGGACTTTTTCTTCTTCACTTGCCTCATACCCCCCCCCCCCCCCGATTAGATATACCTCTTGTTTACTTCGTACTCATGAATGGATTTAACGGTCTATGTGTTGCTTTGCATACTTGCTATGTTGTGATGGGTGGTTGCGCTCGTAGGCCCTGTTGTATGCTTCATCATTGGAATTCTGAAGTGGCTTCCTGGAAGCTTCGCCAGTCAACTCGTCATGGAGCTGCTCGCTTTCGTCCACATGGCCGTGATCTTTTTGATTGCCTTGATGGCATACCTCGCATTCCTGCCGTTCCTTGATCTACAGGCGGCCCGATCGGTCCAGCAGTCTGATGTCTGCAGAAATGTGACTTCCGCTATTCAAAAGAGATGCAGAGTGTGTTGAGCCTTTTTTTTGGAGTATAGATAAGGACCGTTCTCGTCTCTGTAGGATACGACCTACTACGAGCACATTCTGTGACGATTTGTGGAAGCTTGTTGCCCCTGTAGTAATAGGGTAGGGGAGATGGATGTCCTAGCCATACTCATGTCTCGGGTCCCTCTTCCGTGTATCCTCCTCCTCTTCTCCCTCGGCCCAGCCCTCCTACCCATCCTCCCCCCATCCCTACTTGCTTGGTTGGTATGGACCTCACTCCCAAGCCCTCCCAACGTATGCTGGGCGATGCCTCTGGAGCCGTTGTTGCCCTGGGCAATCGGCATAGTCATGATGGTCGGATGGATCTTGGCTTATAATCTTCTTCTCCTTGTCCTAATGATAACTGCTCTTTGGCCTCGACCACCCCGTTTGTCGATTCATTGGTATGTGTAGGCTGTCGTCCGGCACCCGTTTTCGCACTACCACTGTGGATTGATGCCTGGGGGGTAGCTTGGGGTGATTTCACTTGCGATAGATGCAACCGGAGGTTTTGGATTCATGGCGTCTGTTTCTGTGAAGGAGCCTTTCGTATTTGCTTTAGGGCTTACAGGAGTAGTAGATTTGGCCAGGGACGTTGAAGGATTGCTCTCGGATGAAGTGATGATGTCTCGACCGTTGTTTAGACATGGGATACGAAGTGGTTTTCTCTGGGCTTCTCTACCGGCCAGTTTTTCTGGTCTATCGACTTCGAATGCTGCAGATTCCCCGGGGAGGTGTTCAACTTGAATGAATAATCGATCGCCGGCGTGAGTCTTCGAGTTTTGCGCTTGTGTATCGTAGTTTCCCCTGGCG